AACGAGCCTTCCAAAAAAGTATTGTAAAATAATATAAAAAAATTTTTTATCAATTGTGTAACAATTTTATGACGTTCGACGTTTCCTCCTGTTCGTACGTACATCTGTAATAATTCAGAGGTTTAAAAAAGGCCAAATGTACAACATTGATTGGGCTGTCCAGCTATCAAAGTTCGATACAGTGGACTACTGGACTAATTTGAATAACCACCATAGCAACCCTAAATCTATCCATATTAATAAAAAAATGTTGGGAAGGCGATTTTACCTATGGATCTAATCCTCACCCTAACTTCTAGTAAACCAAATGACAAATAATATTTGTATATTATTGGTCAGTATAATAAATAATTAAATTGATATTTGAGCCTTCTTAACTTCAAACCGACTTTTATAAATGTCATAAAAAATTCATTCAAAATGCAAATGACCTGGCATTTGAGAACGCTGCCTAGCGCTAGCCTTTAATTAAATATATATTGATATACAATCTTTAAATCATATGGCCTTGGGCACGGTGTTCCAACCCTACTTTAGATGACCCCCAAATTTAGTATATTTTCATGCATTATGCAATTCTTATCTGAAAAAATAAACGGTAAAAGGTCTCAATCTTTTGTAACATAATGGTATGTACAATTAGGCTTTCACAAGTCTATTCAACTTTAGATCCTTCGTAAAATAACCCTTTTTTTCACAACTAGTCAACGGTTTACAGCCAAACCGCTCTCGAAACTTTTCATGAGGATATGGTGGTAGGTACATTTTTAGCTTTTTATTACGACCTATTTTACAAGAATATTTCAACTGATCTGTTTTGACACAGCATGATGCACAACTCGATTATTATGGGAAAAGATTAGCTACCTGTTCCTCTGACCGTTCTATTAAAATATTCGAAATTGACGGAGAAAATCGTCGAGAAATTGAAACATTGAAAGGGTAAATTGTGTGGATTAATAACACCTTGGGTTTAAGATAAAGTGTACTCATCTCAGATTTTTTATTTAGACACGATGGTCCTGTGTGGCAGGTCGCTTGGGCTCATCCGAAATTTGGAAATATATTGGCATCATGTTCATATGATAGTAAAGTTATTATTTGGAAAGAACAGAAGGGATCTTGGAAGAAAATCAAGGAATACACGGTGCATACAGCTTCTGGTATGATAAGATTAGTACAGGTTGGAGATGAGAGATAGATATAATTTTATCATGTCAAGAAACATGTGACTTGTTATGATTTACATTGGCTTGCTTGATATTTAGTGAACTCTGTATCTTGGGCACCTCACGAACTTGGCCCAATCTTAGCTTGTGCCTCCTCTGATGGAAAAATATCCGTGCTCACCTTTAAAGGTGCGTCTATTATAATTTTTAGTTGTCCATCTCTTCAATGTGTGCTAAGTGTTCTTTCTATTTAAAAGACGATGGCTCATGGGATGCACGTACTTTTGAAGCACATACTATCGGAGCTAACTCGGTCAGTTGGGCGCCAGCGACAATACCAGGAGCGTTAATTCAAACCATTGGTGGTGCACCTAACGTGAACGTTACCAAGAGATTTGCATCAGCAGGCTGTGATAATTGTATAAAAATCTGGGCTTATAGGTTTCATTATTTTCAATTCTTTATTGTCGCGTATGATGTTGAAGTCGGATGATACTTTGAATATATGAACTCTATTGAATCTCCCTACACTCCCACCCTTCTTAACAAATATAATACTAAATCATAATTCAACCCTAAAAAAAAATTTTCATGTTAAAGTAGGACCAAGTTTCAGTATCAATGATTTCAGAATCATCCGCGACATTTATCAATTTCATATGAAATAGGACGTTATTTAAAAATTTTTTTTTCCTATTTCGCAATAGTGAAGATACTAATGAATGGAGAGAAGAGGATACTTTGGAAGGACACACGGATTGGGTACGTGATGTCGCGTGGGCTCCAAATATAGGCCTGCCAAAAAGTTATTTGGCTAGTTGTTCTCAGGTGAGACGATTATTATCTTCATTAGTATATTCATTAACGAAAAATACAACCCAATATTTAATAGTATTTTCCAATTTTTAAATAGGACAAGACTGTTTTTATTTGGACCCAAGACACGCCAACTTCATCATGGAACAAAAAGCCCCTTCGTAGTGAAAAGTTCCTTGATGTCGTATGGCGAGTTAGTTGGTCTTTATCTGGAAACGTGCTTGCAGTTGCTTGTGGTGACAATAAAGTCACCTTATGGAAAGAAAATTTAAAAGGTGAATGGGAATTATTGAGTGATTTGGTCGAACAATAGGGTTGCGACCCAAAACTTTTTGAATTGACATTACTGCATATTTTGGATTTGACTTCAGATTTAGGATAATAATCCAAACCCAAATATATGTTTCAATAATGTCAAACTCAAAAACCAATCGAATTTGTTAATTCAATGCTATAAATTATTAGAACATCGCTATTTTCATTTTCAAATTAAGAAAATTAAGAATCTTAGAATAATTTAGCGACTAGATGGAATATTTTAAATAAAATTGATAGGTCTAATAATTATGTTGAACATATACACAATAAATAATTATAAAAAAATATTCAAAATAAAACTTCGAATCATAAATAATAACCTTTACTTCGAAATCCGGATAGAAATGCCTTATAGCTTTTTAAAAAAGTAAAAACTCAGCAGGAATCGATACCTTATCTGCTATGTGTGGTTTTTTATTCTTTATTTTGATTAACACGTAGTTGTAATGTCAATTGATAAATTTCATTTTTGAACCATGCTAGATTGACTAATTGAGATGTAAATTTTTTTTTGTTTTATTTTTTTTATTTTGCCAAACATAGAAACTTTATTAGTTATGATTCACACCTTTTTACAGAGCAATTGATATACAGTTTCTAATTACAT